TGTCGTGGTTAAGGGCAGGGTATAAATCCAATCTCTTCATCTTCTTTTACCTCACAGGGTGTCTGTCGTGGGGAGGGGAAGGGAAAGGCATTTGTAAGCCGCTCTGAGACTCTCTTGGGTAGTGAAGGGCGGGGTATAAATCCAATCTCTTCATCTTCTTTTACCTCACAGGGTGTCTGTCGTGGGGAGGGGAAGGGAAAGGCATTTGTAAGCCGCTCTGAGACTCTCTTGGGTAGTGAAGGGCGGGGTATAAATCCAATCTCTTCATCTTCTTTTACCTCACAGGGTGTCTGTCGTGGGGAGGGGAAGGGAAAGGCATTTGTAAGCCGCTCTGAGACTCTCTTGGGTAGTGAAGGGCGGGGTATAAATCCAATCTCTTCATCTTCTTTTACCTCACAGGGTGTCTGTCGTGGGGAGGGGAAGGGAAAGGCATTTGTAAGCCGCTCTGAGACTCTCTTGGGTAGTGAAGGGCGGGGTATAAATCCAATCTCTTCATCTTCTTTTACCTCACAGGGTGTCTGTCGTGGGGAGGGGAAGGGAAAGGCATTTGTAAGCCGCTCTGAGACTCTCTTGGGTAGTGAAGGGCGGGGTATAAATCCAATCTCTTCATCTTCTTTTACCTCACAGGGTGTCTGTCGTGGGGAGGGGAAGGGAAAGGCATTTGTAAGCCGCTCTGAGACTCTCTTGGGTAGTGAAGGGCGGGGTATAAATCCAATCTCTTCATCTTCTTTTACCTCACAGGGTGTCTGTCGTGGGGAGGGGAAGGGAAAGGCATTTGTAAGCCGCTCTGAGACTCTCTTGGGTAGTGAAGGGCGGGGTATAAATCCAATCTCTTCATCTTCTTTTACCTCACAGGGTGTCTGTCGTGGGGAGGGGAAGGGAAAGGCATTTGTAAGCCGCTCTGAGACTCTCTTGGGTAGTGAAGGGCGGGGTATAAATCCAATCTCTTCATCTTCTTTTACCTCACAGGGTGTCTGTCGTGGGGAGGGGAAGGGAAAGGCATTTGTAAGCCGCTCTGAGACTCTCTTGGGTAGTGAAGGGCGGGGTATAAATCCAATCTCTTCATCTTCTTTTACCTCACAGGGTGTCTGTCGTGGGGAGGGGAAGGGAAAGGCATTTGTAAGCCGCTCTGAGACTCTCTTGGGTAGTGAAGGGCGGGGTATAAATCCAATCTCTTCATCTTCTTTTACCTCACAGGGTGTCTGTCGTGGGGAGGGGAAGGGAAAGGCATTTGTAAGCCGCTCTGAGACTCTCTTGGGTAGTGAAGGGCGGGGTATAAATCCAATCTCTTCATCTTCTTTTACCTCACAGGGTGTCTGTCGTGGGGAGGGGAAGGGAAAGGCATTTGTAAGCCGCTCTGAGACTCTCTTGGGTAGTGAAGGGCGGGGTGTAAATTCTCTCTTCTTCTCTCTGTAGTGCTAGATTCGAATCCAATAACACCTTAAAGACCAACGAGATTTTCGGGGTTTAGAGTTTCAAGAGTCAACGCTCCCCTCGTTGGGTATCTGACGTATCTGACAAAAGGAGTTTTGACTCTCGAAAGCTCATACTCTGGGAATCTGGTTGGTGTCTAAGGTACCCCAAGGTGATACGGGATTCGAATCTTGCTCTTCTAGTGCAGACCAACATGGTTGCCCACCAGAAACGATCTGAAGTTCTGTCTAAGTTATTGCTAAGCACAGTTATTGGAGAGCCAGTTTGTAGTGGTTAGGAGCTAATCTGGGAGAACCGGGTTTGATTCCCCACTCCTCCGCATGCAGCTGCTGGTGTGACCCTGGGTCAGTCACAAGCTCTCTCAGAGCTGTTCTCTCAAGGGCAGTCGTCAAAAGAGCTCTCTCAGCCCCACCTGGCTCACAGGGTGCCTGTCGTGGGGAGGGGAAGGGGAAGGAGATTGTAAGCAGCTCTGAGACTCCTTCGGGTAGTGAAGGGCGGGGTATACATCCAATCTCCTCCTCCTCCTCCTTCATTTTCATCTTCTTCTCTTAATTGATTCATAAGTGGTTTATGTAGTCTGGAGATGAGCTGTAATGTCAGGAGCTTTCCCGAAGGTTGGCAGCCCTCTGGATGGGGGTCGCGGGGCGGGCAGAGCACAGGCAGGCTGCAGTGCGATGTGATGGGTAGACTATTGGACTAGGGTCTTCGAGACCTGGGTTCGAATCCCCCACTCCATCGTTTTATTTGTTTTATTTCAGCTATATAGTCTGCAGAAAAGGCAGTACAAGAACCAACCAAATTAGCCAAACGGCACACTAATAAGAGGTGGGTGAAGCAGGAAAGACAAGAGACCTGTTCACAAGTTTCAGGGAACGCCCCTTGGGAGCAGATTCACCGGGAAGTGAGAACGACCCCCGGAGTAAGCCAAGCCGAGAGGTCCCTGTAAGGTTGCCATCCTCCAGGTGGGGCCTGGAGATCTCCCACTATTACAGCTTATTCCCCAGACTATAGAGATCGGTTCCCCTGGAGAAAATGGCTGCTTTGGAGGGTGGACGCTGGGGCATTGTAGCCCACTGAATTTCCTATCCTCCCCAGGCTCCATCCCCAAATCTCCAGGAATTTCCCAACCCAGATCTAGCAACCCTGTCCCCCATTTCTGGTTTGGTATAGCCAGGAACCACTCATAAGTTAGCAGAGTGCCCAAAGGCTTACCAAGCAGAAAAGCTTCTCGAGTCTTTCCGTGTCCTGGATAAGAAATAAAGTTCCTCGGAGCCTCTTCATGTTTTCATACTCATAAGATTCCCTTTCTTTAAGGAACTCCAATTCTAGACAGGAAAGGGGAGAGAAAGGATAGTAGTCAAATCTAACTAACTAGGATGGATGCAGATGAGGGATACATGTCCTGCATCCATGTTGGGGAGTCTGGCAAAATGTGGAGAGTGAGGGGGAAGCGGGACGGAAGGGACCTTTTCCTCTGAGAGTAGCAGTCTACACATCAAAGGGGATAGCACTAGAGAAAGAGGGAAGGGATGTTCAGTGCCTAGCCTCTCTACCTCTCAGACTCTCTTGTATTCCTCCTCTGTAGTCTGAGGAAAGAGACAGCGTACAGTCCTCGGCACTTTATGCACCCATATTTTGCCTCGGTTTCTGAGTGCATCCTATTCTTCCGTTCTGCATTCCCTCCCGCTTTCGCTTCCACTTTGTGTCGGGGCCTTCTCTCCTTTTTGCGTTTTGTTTCACAGGAATCTGCATTCAGACAGCTTCCAGCACACTGTTGCCCCGCAGCTACCCAAACTCCTTTTGATGCGATTCTTTGTTCTCATCTGCTTTTGAATCGCTGATCCTCTCTAAAGTAGAATTGTTTCTGATGCTGTTGAAGTGCTGCCCCCCCCCCCCCCCCGTTTCCGCCTCTCTCTCTTTAGGCTGACGCTCCCTCCCCCTTCTGTTTTCTTTCCCTCCTTCTCCGAAGACAAAAGAGGATGTGTCCTCCCGCTCAGGCAAACCCTTGGAAAGCCAGAGAGAGCATAAGAAGGAATCAGTAAATATGAAGGACTCGGGGATTCCCTGCTCCCAAATGTGTCAGTCTTGCGTGTATGGGCCTTAGGGTTGCCAAGCGTATCTTCGCCAGGA